GATAGAAAAAAGAAAAACAATATATTATTACAATTAAGTACGATTAATTACGTTTTCTTTACGTTTATATGATAAAAAAAAAGATCGAATAAAAAATAATAACAGATTGGACATCAAGTGCCAGTAAAATAAGAGAGAAAGAAGAAGGATAGAAAGCAACAGAAAATCTATTGTACATATGAATTCAATTCGAATGAATAAATATCTAACAGAAAAGGGACAAAATAAGATAAAAAAATAATAAATAAATAAAAGAAAACAAAAGAAAACAAAAGAACACAAGAAACTGTTACAATCAAGTACGATTAATGTCATATTTACATTTATACGATAAAAACGAAAGATGTAATATAAAAATGAAAGAAAAAAAAAAATCTCACGATATTAAATTAAAAAGAGATAAATACTGAGAGAGAGAGAGAGAGAGAGAGAGAGAGAGAGAGAGAGAGGAGAGAGAGAGAGAGAGAGAGAGAGAGAGAGAGAGAGAGAGAGAGAGAGAGAGAGAGAGAGAGAGAGAGAGAGTGAGAGAGCAAGGGGTGCGGGGGAATAGAGAACATTACTGAATATGAAGGTTAGAATTCGACAAAAAAAAAGAAAAAGAATAAAAAAAATGAAGAAAAAAAATATAAAAGAAAAAAATATAAAAGTAACAAAAAAAAAGAAGAAAAAAGAAATGAGAGAGAGAGAGAGAGAGAGAGAGAAAGAAGAAAAAAATCAAAAAAAAAAGAAAAAAAGATTCCTACGATCATAGGACGAAGAGCGGAGACTCGAGCTCGTAAATCTTTTTCCCGTTCGAAAGGTATCGTCTCTCGAAGTCGATATATGGCTACGATTTACGAGCCTGATGTCTATTAATTTTACATCGTGCGTTTTACGATAACAGGTTGAACGATACTTCTTGCTTACTACATAACACGCAATCGAGTTTAACTATACGCAATTCTGTTACCAACACATAAGTAGTTACGTATCATGAAAAAAAAAAAAAAAAATATATATATATATATATATATATATATATATATATATATACGTATACATGCGTATATATTTCTAGTATACGTAAACATCTTTGCAAACATTTATATATAATATCACTGTGTTTGTAATGTTACATATATCGGTAGAGAATGATCGGTATTCTACTACGCGAACGCTTTATCGAAACGTAAAACGTTTGCAAAACTGTTGTAATGGTGAAAAGTGAGGAATAACGGATGAAGAGAGGAATAGTGGGGGAAGAGGGGGAAGTGAATACACCGGACAGTGCTCCTGCGCGATCTCGATCACGATTTCTCTGGAGCGCGCGCGTACAAACCCACGTCCGGCATTGAAAATGATGGAAGATTGAATTTTAAATTGGCTATCGGACGTTCGGACGTTCTTCTCATTTTCGTCTCGTCTATAACGTCTTTCTCGTATACGAAGAAATTTATAAACGTAAAGGGGTATATAAAGATTTACGTTGGAAAGAAAAGAAAAAGAGAAGAAAAATAAAAAGGCAGAGAGAGAGAGAGAGAGAGAGAGAGAGAGAGAGAGAGAGAGAGAGAGAGAGAGAGTGAGATGAAGATTAAATCTGATAGCTGTTTATCTTAAAACATATTTTATCTCCCCATTTTTATCTTACTCGTTTGGATATGTGCGTTTATATGTGTGTTTATATGCATGTATACATGTATTGTATATAAAGCTAAATACGTAGACACGATAACGTCATCGGAAGCTGATCATCTTAGATCCTATACACTATCTTACGTGATAATGGATCAGTTTAATGGAGTTTAATCCTTTAACGAGGAAAAACGAGTTAGTCGCTCGTTTGAAAAGGCTCTTGTTAACGAGCAAGAGGAGTTAAGT